CTTCATTCCCTTCTTTATTGCTCTCAGTGTCCTGTTCTTTACCATTGACCCTCAGAGGTTGGTTACTGGTCAGATGGTGCATGGGCAGTTATGGAAGATGGGTGGCAGGAGATTTTTCCACTGAGGTCTGTTGGGATCAAACAGGAGATGCAATACCCTGGGAAACATGCTCACATTTGCATATCCAACAGAAGGCTCAGCTAGTCCCTCCTCAGCTTCCCTCTCCCCTTCAATGGCCTCCTGAAGTGTGCCCATTCTTATTTGCTAGACATCTTCTGCTTGGACTTATACTCTGACCAGTTCAGCTATTTGAGATCTGCAAGGTCCTGCAACATCTCCTGAATTACCAATTTTCTTGTTTTCTTTATGTGACTCTGTGCTTTTTTCCTAGAGCGTTTTACATAATTTTCTAGATGATTGGAGGTTTCAGTCTACGTGACATGGACCAGTTCCAGTGACTTTTCCCACCTCACTTTTGTGATCTGGTATCTGCTGAGTTACACAATCTCCTCCAACAGTAACATTCAGCTCATCACCCCCCCAAGGTAAAAATCTGCTTAGGGAGCTGCTCTCATCTCAGATGCACAAACCTTTTCTGGCACAAATGAAATGGGAAAGTCAGACAACAAAGCTCCCTGGAGCCAAATGGGTGTCATTCATTCCTGCCATGTCTTGCTCTTTTAAGCAGTACAGCAAGAACAGAACAGAGAACTTAGGAGCAAGTTTAGAATTTGCCTGGAACAGTTCCTACAGGCAAGCAGTGCTAATAATTGTACATGGAAAAATTAGATACAAAATATTAAAATATTTGCCTGAAATAAGAAAAAAGTACCCTTCTCAACTTCAGCCTTCCAGTTCCATCCCTTCCTTTTAAATATGTCTGTGATTTGCTCCACTGTTGGAGCAAATGGAGAATACATGGAGTATCCAAAACAAACATGGAAGACACCCTCAGTTTCTGCTGCAGCCTCTCTGATGGAGAAGGAGCCCAGATGCACTGGCCTTTAGGGTCCAGAGTCCAGGAAAAATGTCCTGAAAAAATGGACATTTTCTAATAAAGTTTGGCACAGCTCTTGACGCTGGTGTTTTCCTTCTTGCCTCAGAGCTTTTCCTTTAGTAACTTGGGACCCACCATTTTGGTGGATTAAGTGAAGACTCCAGAATTTGGCTCCTGACTGTAAAGGATCTTGTCATGGCAGTTTGTTCTCTATTTTAATTTATGTATTTGGTGCATGCAAGTGAGCATGTACTGGTACATCCATTGGGCAGGGAAGGAGGAAAATATGCAGTGCCCAGTGAATTTCTGTGGGGTCATGTTTTGATGTCCTGACTCAGCTGTTCTTTTGGCCAAGCTCTACTGACCAGCTGTTCAAAGCTATTTAGACACCGGATGTCTCAATATAGTTCAGCATCTGTCTCAGGCTGACTGAGGACTGGTAAGGACCTCTAGAGACTGATCCATTCATGATTATTATTTATAAAGACATTGGCTTTTGCTGCTGATATAACTGGACCCTCTGTGCCTAAATTCCTTTTTTTTTAATGGAGGAATTTTTACTACTGCTCTTTGTGCCTTTTAGAAGAATCCCCTCTCTGCTGTGTGATTCTAGCCTCTCCTGGTAAGTCTTTAGGCAGAGGTCAAGGCTTGGGCAGAAGAGATTCCACTGCTTTAAACAGTGAGAAAGACTTAGGCCAGGTTAAGTCCCCTGCACTCTCATCACACCATAGTAATGCTAAAGTGCAGTACAGATGTTCCTAGTAAAATACACTTGCTTTCAGGCTTCCTTTTCGAGACAATCAGGTGTAATAGCTCAGTGTTTTACCCAAAAGGACTCTTAGGTAGGGTTCTATTAAAATAACTTTGAAAGTTTCATTGAAATGTGTCTGAAAAATTCTGAGATATATTAACCTCAACTATATAAAAGCTTTCATTTCTACAAGAAACTATCTGCATACCCTGATTTGTCCAGTTATGAGGACAGTTCATTTATCTCTTTCTGTTTCAGCCATTTGAGTCCCAGAAAATCAATTACAGAATTTTTTTCCTTTTTACAAGGACACATTTTTCAATGTTACATTCCTTATGCTAGGGAGAGGTATTGGTTGCCTAAAATCTGCTAGTTTTCCATAGCTTTGTTTCCCAATCTCCTTTTCCCAGCTGAAGAGAAAATATCAGTGGAGGAAGACCTTTTCTTCCACAATGGTCAGATCAGTGCTCCTCCATTAACCAGTCAAAACATAAGGATCTTTTATCTATCCATATCTGCATTGCCAAGATAGAAAGGATTTTAGGGTCTGCAGGGCTGAGTATTTCAGGACTTTACCTCTTACATTTCTCTATCCAGATCTGATCAGAGTCCTGTGCAGATTCTGGGAGAACTCAGCATGTAAAAGTGGGATTCACTAAGGGAAACATAGAGCAATCCCCTAAATTAGCCTGAAGAAAATGGCAAGGAGAGTAGCAGGGACCTGCAAAGAGATAGAGAAACTGAGCTCTGAGCTGCAGAGGTACCTCCTCTCACCTGGAATCTGTAACCATAGACTCTTCCCTGGAGATGATGTCCAAACCACCCTTTTGTCACAAAACACAGCTGGGGAGAGGCCCACCTGCCTTTGCATGGAGTAGCTCAGTGTTTGCAGGACACTTCTGGAAGGTGGGAAGCTGAAGAGCAATTCCCTGCATTTCCTGGAGAGGGGTGCCTGCAGGTGACCTCTTGCTGTGCGAGAGTCTTGTGAGCATTGGCTGCACCATGGAGTAGGAGAGAGTCACTGTGCCCTGCTTGAAAACATCCCTCAACCCAGCAGCAAAAGTGTTTGAACTGGGCTCTGGCACGTCTGGGAAGATGCTTTGGCTGCTGGGCATCTCTTCTTTCTGTGCTGCCAGAGGCTGTGTTGCAGAGCTTGCTGCCTTGGAAGATGCCTGATGTGAGTCTTTCAAGACTCATCCCTGCAAAATAATCTCCCACATGTAAAAGGCCTTTTAACTTCAGGGTTTCATGTGTTGTCCCAGTGCTGAAATCTGCCCTGTCCATCTTTGCTGTAGCTCTGCTGCAGACTTAGGTGTCACCTGTGTAGTGCCTCCCACTCCATTAGCCTGTGTTGCATCTCTCGCTCTCTCAGCTTCCTCCATGCCAGGATCATTCCCCTCATTCCTCAATGCTGGTTTTGTGAAAAAGAAAATTCTTTTACAGAGATGAGTTCATAGCAAGTGGATCACCATCCTTCTGCCATCTCCCTTCCTTATCAGTGGGATTCCCAAAGGAACCACCACTCAGAAGTGACAATGCATTAAGGTCCTTTCTAGTGTTAGCAGGCTTGCACAGCACACCCAGTGGCACCCAGTGCCTGGCATGGGGTTAGGAGCTGCTTGTGATTTCCACACTTTGCCTTTGCCTCTGGAAGGAGGCTCTCATGGTGCTCCAAATGATGCTGTTTCACAAACAAAAGCACTTGCTCTGTTCCTTTATCATTTCCTGAGAGGGCGCGTTTCATCTTCCTACTTGTGGCTGTCGTCCAGTGCCTGGATCTGTGCAGGAAATCTGCCTTAAACAACACGTGAGGGCTGCCAAGACATTGCTGGTCTCCACAGGCACCAGCAGACAGCATTATAATTACTTATCCTCAGGAGATCAAGTGGTACATGGTGTTCTTCTCCAAAGACCAGAGCACTTTCATAGCGCACGGTAGCTCTGCCTGGGGACAGAGGAGGGACAGGGCCTGGGGCTGCTGTTACACTGGGACAGAGAAGCTGCAGGACCTTTTTGGTGTTGCAACCTCCATCACATCCAACTGAGCTGTTTGCTGAGCTCACCAGGCTCTTATATTTATCTCTTAGTCTCTTAATATTTATCACAGTGGAGAGAGCTGTGACTCAAACGGGATCAGATATTTGAACACGCCAAAGGCTCAACTTCCCGGAGACCAGGGACTGAGGCAAGCACTGTGGCTGCTCCCTGTGAGCAAGGGGCTTCACCCTTCACCTTGCTTGTGCTGCAGACCAACCTCAGGTCAGCCAAGGGCTGCAGAGAGAGTTTTTATTCCTGCTGAAAAGAGGCCAAAGCCTGAAGCCCTGAAGGAGGTTTTATGCAGACCCTGCTCTACTCACTGGCAGTGAGAACTGTGCCCCTCCAAGCCCAGGCCTCCCCTCTCCCACCAGAAAGGGGTCTGGCCATGGCTGTGGGATTTTTGCCTTTTTCTCACCAAGGAGGGCAGGGAGAGCAAGTTCTGAGGAGGGAGACAGTTCTGAGTTGCCTGCTGGGGTTTCAACCTGGTCCTCAACAAGGCAGGAGCCTTTTAGCTGGACTTCTGCTCTTTATTTCATATGTGTGGTACCTCTGTGAAGGGAAAGTGTGGGAGTGACTCAGCTGCTGACACAGGGATTTACAGTTTCAGCCATGAAGAGGGGTGGGACAGCCATGCCAGAACAAAAGGATACACCATCAGCTGTAGCCACTGCTCTTCACCTGCCATAAAATTTGGGATCAGTTATCATTCTCATGTTAACAGAGGCCATGATCTGCACAGCATCATCTCTGAAAACAAACCATCTGTGAGGGCTCACAGGGAGGGCTGTTCTTCCTGGATAGCCTGACACTTCCAGGCAGGCTGCGCTGTTTTCCAGAAAACAGGGACAAAAATCAAATGTGTGACGCTCTTGAACTGGTCTCCCTAGGAAAATAGCCTGTTTGTGAACAAAAATGTGATCCCAAACAGAAAATGGTCATGTAACTGAAACATGTGTATGGCTGGAGGAGAGATAAGAGTTGGTGAGAAGGAGAGTAACTGCAGTACCATCAGAAATAATGCACTCCCTAAGAAATAACCCCCTGCTGCTCTGTGGGAGCTGAGGGCAGCTCAGCACAGCACTGTGCCTTGCAGAGACTGTGAATATTCAGCCAGAGACTCTGTGCTGGCACAGGGCCCTCTCCAGCAGCCAGTGAGGGTCTGCTGGCCACCTGTCCTCTGCCCTTCTCCTGGTGCCCACTGCAGTGGCCATGGAGTTCACTGGTTTCTTCACACTGTCAGTGGCTGACATTGCCACAGGAGTGCCACCTCCCAGCACAGGGTATTGCCTGAACACTCGTGCCTAGATGGGACCAGTGTCCTTTCCAGGGTTGCAAAGAGACACAGCCAGCTGGGATTCACCACCCAGGACCTCCTCCTGAAGGCAGGTGCAGACACACTGCCTTTTACAGAACTCATCAGAGCTGAATCTTTACTGCCTGAATTAATCCAGTCCTCCTTTTCAGTGACTACACAGAATCTGGAGCTTTGGTCCAAGAATTGGGGAAGCCAGATTTGCTGCGTAATGGGATTCAAATCCATGTTTGTTCACCAGGTATTCCAGTGGGAGCTGTGGGAATTCCCATCACATTTCCTGAAAATGGGTCTGCTGTACAGCAAGAAGCTCAGGCTCTGATCAGATAGAGAGGCACCACTGCAGATATGACTGTGATTTAGTGGTCGAGGTAAGTAGGTGGCTGCCAAATCTTGTTGTACATTTTGCATTAAATATTTAGCACATAAAAAAAAGGAAGTGGTTTTCTGGAGCAGAGTGCCCCTTCTTCTAGGTGAGTGGCTTGACTGCTAAACCATCAAAGTCATCATTTTTTCCTCACTGCATGGGATGAGGTTTCTTTGCTTTCTACTATCTGAAGGAAAAAGAGTGACCTGTGAGAGGTAACTTGCAAAATATTTCACTGGGGAATACCAGAATACCATCATCCAAACATTGGTTTTTGGTGAGCTCACGGGATTTTTGTCCTGGCTTCAGCTTGCAGGTTTTTGAGTTATTTCATGATGCAAGACTACCCTAAGACTAATGGTGTAAAATAGTCTTTCTTCTAAACTGCTGCACCCCTATGAAAAATAAAGGTGCTAATATGTCTGTTTTCCAGTCTGCTTGTCTCTGTGGTTTTGGTGTGAACTCTGAGCAGCCAAAGGCACAAGGAGATCCCACAGCTTGATGGGAGAGGTGGGTACCTGCAGCACAGGGCATCATTTAACAGCAACTCTTATTATCCAGAGGGGTTGCTGAGAGAGGCTGCTGTGGCTTCCCTACTGCATTAAGCCCTTAAATGAAGACTGTTTTCTTTAGGAAGACTAAAGGTTGCTTAGCATTTATCAGTGAGTAAGTGCCAACACATGGGTGTGAAGATGAGCAGAGGGTGCAAGGCTGGGGACCGCTCTGGGAGCAAGAAGGTGCAGAAGAGGAGGAACCACAGGGAGGAAGCCATGGCTCAGGGAGGGAAGTGTACAGCCAACAGGCAGGGTCAGGGATGGGCTGTTAGCATTGGAAAATAAAATTATCTGGCTTTTCTGTTTTAAAGAAAAACAGCATCCTCTGTTTAAGTCTGTGCTGGGACGCCTTGTCCGACCTTGCTCTGAACCTGGGTGTGTGACCAGACATTATCTGGTGGGGGCCTTCTAGAGGTCAGTATTTACAACTGTTTAAAGGAGATGTTCCTAGCAGAGGAGGAGGAGGAATGGTGCCAGGAGCAGAAGTGAAGGACAGAGCCCCACTGATGGTGACAATGGGGTAAGGGCAGGATGGTGGCTACCCAGCTCCCACACCTCGGGGCCACCCTGTGCACACCCCAGAGCTCTGCTCTATCTGTAAATCATTTTGCATGATTAGCTTGACATGATGTAACCCTGTCCTTGTGACTCAGCACGCCAAATATAAGCATCAAATGACTACAGAGTCATCTGATTTACAGGAGTCTCACTTATAACAGCTCATTACCGAGCCAGCAAAGCATCTGTGAGCCAGCCAGCAGAGAGCAGATTGGAGAGCTTATGAAAGCAGATTTTGGGAAGACTTTCCTAGTCAGGCCTGCAAAACCATCTACTTACAGCAAATAAGCAAAATCATCTTGCCTTACCTTTTAAGTTTTCCTTTCTCACTTCACTTTGTCTCAGGAAGTAAAGTTTCACCAACCAAAGCCACCTCAGGAATGGTCTAGTGAGTTTGTTTAAAGCCAAGTCAAAATGAAATCTGTCTGAGAACTAGGTGATGGAAATAAAGTTTTCCACCAGCACAGGGTGAGACCAAAGGAACCTCTCAGACCTGCAGCTCTGTTGATGGCAGAATTTTCATGCAGTGTCTCTGCATGTCTGTTAGTGTGTCCTTTCATGAGTCCGTCAGTGGTCAGAAACTCCAGTTGGCTGTGAAGTATATTGTTCACTCACAGGCCTTCTGCATTTATTTTATTACTTAAGGAGAACCAGATCACCAGAAGTTTTCTTAAATCCCCTAACTGTGCTTTACAGCTCACTCCTAAATATGCAATATCCAGTCAGTAACTTTGGTTGGTCAGGCCACCATGTTTTCTGAATTACTGCAGCTAAAACTACTCCCATGAAACATCCCACACATTAAATGTGCTATTTTGACTGCAAAGCACCCATTTGACATCACCTATCTTTAAGCTAAGTTAAGAAAGGAAATGGAGACATTCAAAAGTGCAATGCCACTTGCATTCAAGTGTTACCTAATATGATCCCTGCTGTCATGTATTTCTCATTCTGTAATACCTCTGTCTGGGCTGGTGCAGGTCTGCCTGTGCCCTGAAAACATGAACTCAGATGGATGAGGCTCTAGCTGATCTCAGAGATCTTGTACTTATGGATAAAGAAGACACATGCCTAAGCCCCTCTCGACATGGTACAATGCAAACACCTCTCTAACAGTATTTCCCTGACTTCCAGGCTATGGGATACTTGGGATAAAGGGTTTCCAGGAGCTGAGATGGGCACCCAGGTCTTCCCACAGCTAGATGGGTGTAACTCCAATCCCTTGCAGCCACTGAAGAAATAAAATGCTTTTATTCCAGGTCTCTGTGCTGTGGCCAGCCCCCTACTCCCTACCTGTACATGTCCTCAACTGCAGATTGTCATGATGTAGGAAACACAAGAAAGAGATACAGTTTTTAAGGAAAATACAGAATGTTTGAGTGCATGCTTATCCATGGGTATTTTTCATTCTCTCTCACTCTCTTTATGCAAAGCTGTCACGGGAGACATCTGACAGAACCTCTTGGGCTTTGTCCATGTATGACCAGTGTTTGTATTTAAAAAAAAATAATCTCAGAAATGTTTTGCCTAGTTCACATGATTTATTGCTTCAGGATAAGATTTTCAGGAAATCTGTGAGATCTTCCAGGATCAAAGCAGCCTAGCAAAGGCAAGGTGCTGTTATCATTACGTCTTCAGTCGCCTTACTTTCCCCATAGGGAGAAGTAATTGTGCATGCAGTTTGTGTCTGGAGGCAGTATATTCTACAGAAATGCCACTTATTACTGCACTGCTTTTCATCTGCAGAGGGGAAAAGTGATGTGAAAATGCCTGGAGGAGCAGGAATGTGGTAATATGAATCTCATTTTACCATGCCTAAAAGAACCTCATGCAGAAAAGGCGTTGATAAAAGAGAGTCAATGCTGAATAAAAATCCCCAATTAGAGCCCTATCAAAAGCAGCACTTCCATGGTGAAGTGGGTTAGCTCTCCCTGCCTTTACAGAAGCCTGTGCTAGGATGTGCTTGCTTGGCTTTTTTATAACCTGTCTGTACCTCTCCCATCTTGAAGCCATGGCTTTCTTTCCAGGTAACTGCATGCCACTTCCAGCAGCTGGATGGCCAAAAGCTCTGGTGTGGTGCTGGGTGACTGGGCAGAGGTGCTGCAAGGTCATTGCTCCAAGGCAGGGCACTGGAACTCCCCAGTCCCAAGATAAAAGAGTTTTTTTGCCATCAAGTGATGGCAACTCACAGCTGTTTGCCATCAATTTGAATGGAAACCTCCACTCAGCCCAGAACCTGATAGAAAACTGATGGTGCTCAGCAGCTCAGCCCTGGCTTGTGGCAGTGGCTTGTGGCAGTCTGGAGACTGAAGTCTCATTTTCAGGCTGGGTTTGGAAAGCAGCTTATGGGTGGAGGGGAGGTTTGTAGCTGCTGCTGTGGGCCCAGGGTTTTGGGGAGGGCTGGAAGGCTCCAATTTGTGAGGGTTCCCCATGGGCTGGGGCACAGCCCAGGTTTGCACCAACCACCCCTTGTGCAGAGGGAGCTGCTTAAGACCATCATGCCCAGTTGAGCAAGGGGCTCATGCTGGGAGGCTCAGCCTCCTTTTGTCCTGGCTGCCACTGGCACTGCGTATCACCTGCTTTTCTCATTCCTTGCACCGCTGAAACCCGTGGGGCAATTCCTCAGGCAGGGATTGATGGAGTCAATTGAAATCAAACGAAGTTGTGGATCCACTTTCACGCTCTCTGCCCTGGAGTCTGTCCTTGCAGTGCACTGTGGTGGGCTCCAGATTTGCTTTTAGCATCCCCTTGCATTTGAGGGGGGTAAAGCATGAATAGCTTTTGCAAAACCATGCTCTGTGCAGCTATCCCCTCAGATCAAGTGCATCTTTCCCCCACACAGATCTCCTTGCTGCCAGCACAGAGCCTTATCAGCAGAGGCTGACTGATAAACCAGGGCAGTGCCACTGGGGGCTGCATTACGTGCATCTTGGCCACACACACAGGAACACACGTGTGTGCACACATTCCTGCCAAGCAGCAGGCAGCAGTGGAGCTTCCAGTCATCTGGAAGGGCCTGGAGGGCTCTCAGAGAAGAACTGAGCTTTTAAGAACCCCTTTGCATTCAGCCTCTTCCTCCAGGTAATTGTTTATTTGTAACATCTGATTCTCCCCTCAGCACATTCACGCCACCTGCTCTAACAATTATTTCTGATTTTGCCCAGTGTGAATTTCTGCTGGGCCATTTATAACTGACTGTCACAGGGTGCCATGGATCCTGCTGTCAGAGTAAGCACACACCTGATTTATTTGCTATGCCTAGGTTAGGAAATTACTGGTTTACATTTATGGGGAAAAAAAGCTATATTTTTTCCCCATCATCTCAAATTTTACCACAGCACCATCAAAAATAAGGGCTGAAAGAGATTTCTGAGAGTCATCTAGCCCTGGGCAGAACCAAGACAGACTGAGCATCTAAACCCCTTTGGGTTCTGCTTGTCCCCAGTGTCGAGGCACAGCCACACAGTCACAACACCACGGAGTAACCACTGCTCTGTAGTGGCAATTCGCAGGGTTTGCCTCACCTAGTGGTTCAGGAGCTCCAGGACACACCTCCCTTTGTACCAGCAAAGTCTTCATTTTATTGTGTGTCTGAAGTAAACATGCCTCCCCCAGAGATGCTCCTGAAGGGGAGTTTTCACTGGAAATGTTTATTGTCATGAGATGAGACAAAAGCAGCCTCCACATCTGCCCGTGCAGAGTCCTGGTGGTCCCAGGGGTGCAGGAGCAGCAGGCACAGTGGTGTTTTTGGGAGCTGCTGGATGAGCAGATGTGGCAGGAGGGAGATCTCACTGGAGGGAAGGGTGCTCCCATCCCTTCATCTCAATCAGCCCAGCAGGACCACTCTCATCTCAGTACCAGACACTGTGTGACATGGTTATAGCACCAGTGAGATGTCCTCAGCATCCAGCAAGCCAGCTGTGAGCAGCTGGGGAGTGGTTCCCATGTGAGGGCCTGCAGGGAGAGATTGGTGCCCATGGTACCACTGCCTCCATGCCAAAACACAAACCTTCTTCTTCCCACAGGAGGATGAAGCTGTTTAAAGCAGTCACGGTGCTCCTGATAAGGAATGCATCTTCTTTACAGTCACCAGATTTCCAAGCAGATGTATTTTGTAGTTTCTACAGCAGCTGGGTGGGGAGCTGTGTGTTGCCAGTGTTAGTGCTGTGTGAATTCCCTTTTCAGATGTTTATTTGTATTGCCAGTGTCCTCAGTGTGTCCTTGCTATGGGTGTAGCTCTAGTGCCAATAAAAACCCCCCAAAATTTCAGTGAGGTCATCTGGTACTATATTAGGTTGCAGAAATAATGAGTGTTTTTCA